TGTATCATCTATATTAAAATATATTTATCAATATATATCTATTTTTATCTTTTTGTTAAAGTAAATCAATAAAAGAAATTTAAAAAAAATTTTTATACTTGTACATCATTATAGTTATTATAACATTTACACTAATTAATTAGATCAAATTACATTTCGTGTTATTTAATAATATTATTCGTATGATCATTCATATCATTTCATAGCATGAAAATGTTCATTAAAAATAGTATAAACAAATATATTCTGTAATTATATTTTTGAATCAGAAATCTTATTTATTACACTCTTAAATTTTACAATATAAATAAGATATTACTTTATAGAGTAATCTTTAAATTTACAAATATCGCAAACTTAACGCAAAGATTTTCCACGAATTTTCCACGTTAACTGTTACACAACAGTTCTTAAACATAAAGAATAACAATTTACTTCCAAGATTTGAATATCGAACAAACTGCAAAAAAAACTTCTGCGTCATTTCTCTGGCTGACGTTAAGCACTCTAAACGTTCAAACAGCGCGTAAAAAATTCCATAACACGAATAAATAATAATCTGTCACGAAAGTAGCCTAATGTTTATGTACACACATACAGAATACCGAAACGATGTTCTAGGTGCATAAAAAGTCGATGAGATGTAACCAACCTTGACCAATCGAGATAGAGACCGATTTTTCATGAAATCGTGGATAACGAATTCCTTTGGAAGAAGGAAGATTGTGATTCATGCAATATGTGGCTATACGTATCGTTATGTCACAATATTTTATTCGTGCAAATGCAAATTGGAAATTTTGTATTGTACATTGCTAGGCAGTTGGAAAAATATATAGTCTAACGAGATAAGCCAACTTACACAACATACAGTCGAGTCACACGTATTCTTATAATTGGCTGAGCCATTAACTACCACCAATATATGTCAATGTGTGTTACGTTTGGAAGACCGGCCATATTTTCAAAGTGCCAACTTACCAGCAAGGTACATACATATTTCAATCTTTGTGAAAAATGTGTAAATAAGTTGATGTGACTTAAAAATATCAATAGTTGTTTGATTTATGAAATTTGTAAATGTTTAAATATAATATATAAATATAATACCTAATAAATAAGATATTTGTCGATTTTAATTGTCAAAATAAACAGAAAAATGTTGGTTGAGGCCTTATTGAGTTACAGATATTTTAAGTTAGTATTAGATAAAATAGGAGGATGGAGATAGAGTGAGACAGCTTTATCTCTGTCATATCCTTTTATTCTCTTTCCGTCTTCTTTCATCTAATGCAATTTCAATTTATAATAAGTGAAATATATCATATCAATTAATTTTTTTATGTATTTAATTTTTGTGCTTTTTTTTTTAGCTTTTAGAATTAATTTCTCAAAGATATCCCGATATCACGAATATATTAATAATATAATACTATAATATATATACATAATATAAATAATAACATTTAAAAAAAATTGTTTATAACTTTAAAAATTTTATTAAAATCCATTTTTGCTAAATCTTTTTTTCAACATTTATCGAATATTATTAAAAATTCACAAATTCTTTTTTTTTCTTTAATCAATTTCTTATTATTATTCTATCTTATTTAATAGTACACAGCCATCATCATTATATAGATATTTTATGTAATACCATATTCATTTTATTTACAAAAGAATATTTCTCCATTTATGTTAAATAAATTAAACAATCTGTACTTTACTGTAACAAATAATATAATTTAAATAAAGTTATCAATTATTATTCAGTTATTATCACGTTCTAACATTCACGAAATTAATTAGAAATTAATTACATTAACTTGGAAATCGTCGCCTCTATTTCTTTAATTCTAAATCAAATTAAATTCAATGATCTAACTGATTGATCGATAAATAAAAATATATGGAAAAAATACGACACGGCACTTAGTTAAATTGGCTTCGGCATTGATTATTGGTTGTACCATATACGGAGAAGCTTTCTATATGGTTAAATGCCATTTTCTCCGACTGGGAACCGTTATCCCAATGACAATTTATCCTCCCGTTTACGATGGTATTATTATTAATTCACCGTCCAGCAGATTCTCAAATATGTACTTTCTATAAAAAAAAAAAAAAAAAAAAAAAAAA